AGGCTGGAAACCAGAGATATGACCCCCTACCTAATTCTGCAGCAAATGCTACACATGGCATATCCCAAAACACCAGGGTAGGAGATCAGAGTGGAGGGAGAGACTTGGGAAGAGGACAGCCTGGTGGGTAGGAAGCGGGGAGAGACTCAGACGTGCCTGTTGCTGTGCTTCTCCTCTGTGCCGCCTTGGCACGTGGTGAGGAGTGGCTGGAGTAGGGGACTGTGTAGAAGCTCCGTGTGGGAGACCGTGGTGCAGGTGAGCCGAGGGAGGGATGCGGGCGCCGGCAGGACTCCTGGGCTGCATGCAGGAGCGGTTCAGTGGCAACTTGGAAAAGTACAAAGATGGGTCAAGTGAGGATGCAGGGAAATCCCCAAACAAGCAGGTCAAGTGGAAGTGAGGACTTCTTTGGTGTCCAAAGGGAGTGAGCACAAAGTTACCCGCAAGACGTTTATTCAGATGTCCTTCTCTTTCTCCCTCCACCCTCCTTGTTCTCTGCACACAAGCGTGTAGCACCTTCTACGTGCTTGACCTGGTGCTGGGAACGAGACTAGATAGTCGTGCGGGCTGCAGTGGGCTGGGCCCAGGGCTTGCGTGGAGCACGCGTGCAGGGATGGGGCAGAGAACCCTCATTTCTCTACAGGAGGCACTTGCCTTTGTCGTACAGGGTCTTCACACCCTGCCCCTGCCTGCCCCTCTTCCACCTCTCAGCTCCCCTTTCTTATACGCGGTGTTTTACCCGGAATTACTTGCTGTTCCTTGCATGCACACGCTTCTGTTCTGTAGCGGCTGTGTTCTTTCCACTGTGCTCCAGTCGTCGAGGGATTGGGTTAAGATAACTCCAAGAATCATTTCCAAGGCTGCTTGTACAGTGTCTGCCACGTGGTGCCTGGATCAGTGGGAAAACTTACTGTGGAAACTTCTGGAAGCTCTCGAGAGTGGAATGTAGCTGAATGGGCTGTGGATCCATGTCGCATGGGGCCACAGGGAATTGATGGAGGGCGTGGGGGCTTGGAGGTGCGCGTTTGGGACAGTTTTGAATGGGGTTGACTTCGCTTATGCTGCCTGCAAGCTGCCCCGGCTGCAGGCAGTTACTGGGGTGGGGATCCCAGGAAGCAAGAGTGAGGTGTGGGGAGGGTGAGACAGGGAAGGGGGAGAGACAAGGGTTTGCTGCTGGGTTCCAGCTGTGGTCACTGGGCGTTTGACTCTGCCAGGATCTCGAAGCTTCCAGAATGTGTCCCAGAAATGTGCACTCAGGCCGGGAGCCCAGAGTGGTTGTGCATTGCTTCCCATTCCTCCTTGGTTGAGGGTCGTCCCCACCACGTTGACCCGTCTCCACCTCTGGGCTGCAGGGGCCTAGCTTGAATGCTTCAAGACACCTGTGCAAGCTTGAGGTCGGACGCTGGGGTGCAGGGTGAGCCTGAGTGTCCACTGTAGCTGCTGCCAAGGTCGTGTGTGGGCCTCGGGGACATGGTGAGAGCCCCACTGGCATTTGCTACGGGGAGAATCAGAGCCCACACGGGCACGGAGGGTGCTGGTGGCTGCCCAGGAGGTGGAAGGTGCATCTTCTCCCGTTGCCCGCTGTCTTACTCCGCGTTTTCGTTTACTGTCTCATACTGCCCACCCCTCCACCTCCTTTCTCCTGCCGTCCTCCTTACATAGCAGCTCCATCTCCCTGTTGGGAGGGTCTCAGAATTCAGAGATGCAGAGCTTGTCTGATTTGACCCCCCATGTGGTTCAGTCTTTCTCACAGCATCACGATTGCTATGTGAAGCTCCTCGAAAACCCTCCTGAGAAACGCATCTCTAAAGCCACCCCTCCCTCGTTGGATGGCTCTGACTGCTGGAAATTTCTTCCTCTGGTGAAGTCTGTTGCTGACCTCTACCCGTTGGTCCTAGCTTCACCTTTTTGAGCACAACAGAGCAGGTCTGCGTTGTGTTCTAGGTTAGGTCCTCTGCTATCGGTCTGCGTCAGGCTCAATAAAATAACAAGAAGACACAGACCCAATTTCCTGGAGGTCACAGCACAGATGAGGCATCCAAACAGATAATTGCAAAGCAGTGTGGGAAGTCCGACCGTTGATAATGTTGATTTCTTGGTGTGTGTGTGTGTGTAAATCTGAACTGCCTTTGTCATCTGGACGAGCAGGGGCCTGTGGATTGGGTGTTGGATGTGACGTGGACCCGCATGCAGTTCCAGGGGCTGTAGTTCAGTATAGTTGGAGCCTGAAGGGGTGAGCAGGTGAGTACACGTGGGTGCGTACTTGGGGATCTTGGCCTTGAGGGTGCAGGGCTCGTGGGAGAGATGGTTGATGGCGAATCTTGGAGGACTTTATCTAGCACTTTCTGCTCATGGAGATGGGAGGGAAGCCATTGAAGAGTTTTAAGCAGGGGAGTGACAGGGTCAGATTTGGGTTTTAAATTAAAACGATTCACTCTCTGGTCAAGATGGAAAATGGTTTGGAGAGTGTGTTAGTCGAGATACTTTCAGTAGAGGCATCAATTAGAAATGAATTGGAAAGTGGGAATGTCCATTCTCCCATGTCACAGATGCATGGGGATCGGCGGTTCCAGGGTCGGGTCGGGTCGGGTCGGGGGGCTGCAGATGTACCATTGCCATCCCAGGGTCCATCCTTCATTCCGGACCCTCAAGGCGTCGACCTGGGCTTTCCCTTGATCTCTTGTAGGTTCTGGGTGGTTGCCTCAGTTCCAGGCAGTGGACATAGTGATGCCCAGTGAAGGAGAGGTTTTCTTAGGAAAGGAAACCGTTCCCAGAAGCCCTTGGCAGCCTTCACCCCAGACCCTGTTGGCCACGCTGGGGTCCTGGAGTTCCCGCTGCCAGAATGGCTGGAGAGGCTTCCTCGTTGTCCTGGGGACCAGGCAGGGTGGCTGAAGCAAGGACACGAATAGGAGCTGTGGTAATAGTTGGGCTGAGAGACCAGAGTCCCATCCAGTCTCCTCATCTCCACCTGGGTCAACTCCCATGTCTTTAGCGGGTTTCAGTCCTCCAGACTTTCTTCCACTCCTGTCCACCATCCTCGTGCACCCAGTTCTGCAGTGTATTCTTAACGTACGATGCGTAAAGCTGAGTCCAGACATGGTCAATCCAGTGCAGAGCGTGGGGAGTGTAACCACGATCGCTTCAGCTACTTCGTGGTCATGCCGGCTGACATCATGTGTATGCTCTCGGCTTTTGTAGTTGATTCATGATGTAAACCCAGATTCAGCTTATGGCAAGCTCTAATTCTTGCTTTTTTTTTTTTAATGTAAACGTTATCTGTTCCTGCTGTGTCATCCACGTATTGAATTGTAATCTGTGGTGAATTCTTTTATAAAGTAAAGCGTCATTTTTAAAAGCAAGAAGTCCTATAGTATGTTTCTGCCTCTTTATAGCATCCAGTATATTCTGTAATTATTTATGCACACCTATCTCTTAAAACTGCCCGATGCAGATCAAAAGTCAGAGAGCATCAGGTAAGCATCGGCAGTGACCTTGGGGATGCCGTGTTTTGCCCATTCTTCAGCTTTTTAGGAGTCATTGTGTTCTTCGAGGGGTGGATGTATGTAACCGTCTTGACTTTTCCCTTCGGCCTTGCAGAGTGCACTCTGAATCATGATCTCATTTACTAATATTTCTTTTCAGTTTGCTGTTACCATGTTTGGTGCTGACACTAATTATATGACTAAAGACCTTTTTCCAGTGGTTAAAAAAAACCCATGACTGTTTCTACCAGATCTAAAAATGTTCAAGCACCTGGATGATTGGGACAAGCGCGGAAAGACTCTCATTTATAGAACACAGAAAATTGTTTGTTTCAATCCACCTGCCCCATTAGCCAGGTTTTTTCCTGGCCTCGTCTTGCGAGAGATTTCCTTCAGCCAGCATGCCGTCCTAGGAGCTTGCACTTCTCCATTTTCTGTCTTCCTTCAGGTGTCCATCGGGGGGGTTTCTGTGTGGGTCCGGCTGTGGGCAACTTAAATCACGGGAAGCACAGGCTTCCTGAGTTGCCTCAGGCTGTCTCCCTCTGGTTTCTCCCTTTTCTCCGGCTTCTGCGTTATTACTTTCTGGTTCTGACTTCACCTCCCTGACAACCCCTATTCCAGCGCTTTCCAAGCCTGCACCACGTGCCTGTCCCGTGACCATGCACCCACCCTGTGTTCATCTCTAACGCAGGGCTGTGCCGAGTGGGTCCTGTCTCTTTGTTAGAATGTTCTGAAGAAGTAGTTCTTGGGCAGGCTACTGCAGGTGTGTGGCTGTGATTCTTGGAAAGAGACAACTCCTGTCCTTTCCTTCCCCGTATTTCCTTCTCACTTAGGAATTGGGAATAGCACGCAGTCCTTTATGCTTCACTTTGATATGAAGTGTTTCTTACCCCTCAGGCTGCAGGGCTTTCTGGAGCAGGGTCTGGGTCTGTGCCCTGTCAGTCTTCTTTAGGTTACTTTTTTTTATTGATTTATTTTGTAGCTAAGCTTGTTTTCTTTTTTTCTTTAAACATCTTTATTGGAGTATAATTGCTTTACAATGGTGTGTTAGTTTCTGCTGTATAACAAAACCCTGTCAGCCTTTATATCCCCCGTGCCTGGCACATGGAAGGCACCTACTAACAGGAAGACGAGTAACTGAACGACTTCTTCTTAGGCTGTAAATCTAAAGAAGACCATGTCTTCTCCGCAGTATTGATTGATGGTAGATGACACTGTGGGCTGGTTGGCTTCATGACAACAAGATGAGTGGCTCTGCCTGCCCCGTCAGCTGTATCCTCCATGCCCATGTGGTGGCCTGTGGCAGGGGATGATATTTATTGAATCACGTGAAAGACTGAAGAAGCAAAGATGCTGCCCGAAGTGGTAAAGGGGCCTGCATGGCACCGTGGACCAGTGTCTGTATCACACGTGTACGTTTCCTTTACTGTCGTCCCGTAAAAGGGTTGGGGTTGTGTGCACTCCCTGACTCCATCACTGACATAGGAGGATATTCTATGCATCTTGGTATTTGCTCCTTAGGTAACGAATCTGACCTTGAACTGGAGAGGAAGTATAAGGAAGATGATCGAGAAAAGGCCCCGAAGAGACTGCGGACTCAGAGAGTGGAGAAAGTCCAGAAGGTCTGCTCGGGAAAAGAGGCCGCGCAGATCTCCGGAGCCAAGAAGCCCATCATAAGTGTGGTTTTAACGGCTCACGAAGTGATTCCAGGTGAGCAAAACAAGTGGGAGGGGACAGAATGCGACTCTCTGGGCGGGGCTGTGCCGCAGGCAGCCAGACAGCTGGGGCTGTGATCCTGAGCGGCTTCATCACTGTCGGGCTCTCCACTGAATTACCCAGTACCTTGGGATGATGGCTGACCTGTCACTGCTCAGGGCTGTGGTGGACGAGCGTGTCCAGAGGAAAGGGAGTGAGGGCTGCCCCTGCTGCTGCCTCCGCCACCTCTGCAGCCACGACCTGTCCTTGTCCTTTGAGTGGCTGCTCACAGGAGCAGTGGCCAAGGAGAGTGTCTTTTTCTTTGCCCCCTCACCAGCCCCTCTCCTGGATGTCCTCCCCGCCCTTACCGCCCCATCCTACGTGTAAGACCACTCGCACCACATGGAGGTTGGCAGCTTCTCCAAAACCCTCCACCTCACTTTCTTCTTCCTTTTTTTGCATTTTTTAGTGGGTTCATCATATATTTTATGATACTAGAAATTCCTGTCTCCTCTTCCTTAAACATAAAGTAGCCAGTGGATTTCTTATACTACCCTTTTTAAAACAGGTCTCTTCCAGGAAAGGATACTTTAGACAAAAAGCAATGTGATAGTAGATTCCAAAGTATAATAATGGGTTTTTTCCTATCAATTTGAGGTGATAGCTGTTAAATAAAATTTTGAAAAATCAAGTTTAGGATTTTGAGGACAGCTAGAGCCTTTTTAAACATCTTTTTTCAGTGCTAATAGTATTGATAACTGATTATTTAAAATGAAAACGCTGAATAAATGCCTCTTGATACTTCACTGCAGGGTAAGGTAATCAGCAGAGAAAAAGCCGTATAAGATTATGTGACTAGAAGTTGTTTCTGGAAAGCCACTTTGTCTGCCCCACCCTACTTCAGAGAAGTGTTATTCTGGGAAATGGAAATGCCAGGAGAGAGCTTCCTGTGTTTAGCTGTCTCTAGAGAAAGTTTCTATAATGATTTCTTAAGAATTGGTGGTAGTATTCTGAGATTTCTGTAAGGTGGGGGGTAAAAAGTGGTTAATTTCCTTTGCTATTCCAGAAACGAGAGGTAGATTGGAGCCTTTCTTTAGTGCACTTGATATATAACGTGCGTGTGCATGTACCCTCGTGCACATACGCTGCTGTAAACGGTCTTTGATCGTTTCACATCCTGAACTTGCACGAATAAAGGTAACCTTTGAGTTTTCCACTCCAGACCTTTCATTTCACAGGGTGGACACAGAGGTCTGGAGGCGGGAGGGTGATGTCATATTTGGGACCAGATCCCAGGCAGCTTAGATTCCTGTTCACAGTTGATTCCACTGCTCCATTCTGTCTTGACGCTGTTTTACATTTGCGTAAAGTTTAACACATGTGGATCTATGTGAAATCTTGCAGGAAGCATATATGTGTATATGGATCTATTTTTTTGTTTTTTAATAAGGAGATCAAGTGAAAATGTATCTCAGAAGAAGGTTTTGATTATTGGAAAACTTGCCCTTTCCCCCCAAACATACACATGTACACACACACACACACACACACACTTACACACACATGCGTACACATATACAAACACACAAGTTAAAGGTGTGAACTGAAGGAAAACTAGTCCCTTGCATGGGTGCCACACAGTAAAGAAATACGCTTCCCAGGCTCCGTCCCCTGCTCTGGGGGCAGGGGGGTGGTCAGGGCCCTCACGGCGCCTCTTTAATATGTGGTGCGTTGTGCCTCCATCTCAGGTGCTACCAAGATTGTTCCGGTGGAGGCTGGGCCCCCGGAAGCAGGAGCCGCAGACCCCAAGGCCGCGGTGGCCGACCTGGCGCCCCGGAGAGGGTACCAGGAGTACGCCATCCAGCAGACACCCTATGAGCAGCCCATGAAGTCGAGCAGGTAAAGCGTTCTGTTCTGTGCGACTCCAGCCACCGCTGCAGAGGGCGAGAGATGGGCGTGTTAGCTTATCAGGACGCTGTGTGCAAACCCATCTATGAAGGGTTTCGGTTTCTTGACTGAACCTGAGAACTAGCCCCTCCATTATGGCCCTAGAGTGCTAGCTGAGCCCAAGCAGCCTCTGTGTGATGCGCGGCAGATCAGCAAGCATGCTCGGGAAACGCAGCGCCTCGGCTTAAGGAAGGTGGAGCGTTCTGCTTAAGGCAGATGTATGCTTCATCTAAATAAAAAGAGGTGTGAACAAGGCCTTACTTAGTAAATTAGTTGATTTTTATAGCTCCACAATTTATAATGAAAAAGAAAATCTCTCTTTCCCCCCTACTTTCAAAAGTAGCATAAGCATCCTGTAGAAGGTTCCAACATCCGTGTGATGTGCAGTTACAGTAACCCATAGTGCCTCTTCTGGTCATGGTCACTACTATAGACATCGTGGTTCACAGGCCACCATAAGTTTTTCATGATATACTAAAATATAGCACTCTAATTTTGTTATTTTTTTTCCTAGCGTAAAATACCAAAGGCACTGTTATCAACCCATTTTTTTAAACTTACCACACCTTGACTTTTTCCTTTTCAGTACATATTTTTTTTAAGTGTGTTTGCTGTCATGTAGATGCACTAGTTTATATATAGCCAGTTTTTGCTTGACGGACAAGGTTTTGGTTCCTCCCTCTTTCAATACTTCTTCAAGACTTCCTGTGAGATAAATTGCTAGAATTGAAATTGCCCTCTTAAAGGATACGAGTGCTTAAAACTTGAATCGACACTGAAAACTGTCCTCCAAATACATTGGGTGAGTCGATGTCCCAGAGGGGACTAGCCTGCGTGTCCCCCCACCCTCCCCATGGTCACCAGCTCAGCTGTGATACGTACCTGCTGACGTAGATCAGCAAACTCTCATCACCTGAGTTCTGTACACATTTTCCCAGCTGAGGGGAAAGACAAAACGCCAGTGCAAGTGGGCTCCCTCTGTTTCTGGAAGAGGGGAAAGGAGGTGTTCTTGATGAGGGCGTAAGCTCTAGCACCAGGCAGACCTGGGTTGGCTCTAGGCCCTTCTACTGGACTTCAGCCCAACAGATTAAACACCTTCTATGTGCCAGGCACTGGGGATGTGAGAGAGATTAGGACAGACACGGCCACTGCCTGGATGAGGCTCTGCTGTGAATGGACACAAATGCTTTTGCCTCTGAGCCTCTCTTACACCGGCCACAAGACTGTCCAGTAGAATCTGACTTAGTTTAGTGCTGGGAATAAATGATACCATATATGGAAAGTGCTCTTGTTGAATTATAACATCATGTCATCTGGGTGCTTCATTAATCTGTAGCCTCACTCCTCTCTTCTTGCAAATGGGAGCAACTGAATTAATCGATAAAGCTGTAAAAATATGCACTCCTTTGGCAACACTGAAATGGAATTAATTTTGAGGATCTCTCTTGTCTCAACGCAGGTTGATCTGTAGACCTTAGTTAATTATCTTCATAATATTTCAAGGTCTGTTGGGGAGGGTTTCAGTTCAATGCTAATCTAGTTACAGGTAAATATACTCCGTATTTAATCAGTAGATTGAGGCTGTATTCCTGTTGTCAAGCATTCTATTAATATTTTATAGTCTAAATTGTAAAACAGTTACAAAAGAGGCTTTTCGTGTGACGAAAGTCCGGAAATCTATAAGGAAAAAAATTATTTGTAATCTCACTACCCTAGGATAAGCACTGTTAATATTTTTAATGTTCCCTAAGATAAGCAGTTAATATTTTTAATGTTATTTCCTTCCAGCCTTTTTTCAGCCCATATATTTTATAAAATCGGGTTTATATATATATATATATATATATTTTTTTTTTTTTTTTTTTTTT